TCTTCCGGCAATGCAATATATGGCTTTTAAGAAAGTCAGGGGTACTTAAGCAAATTTTGCAATGTGGACAACGGAATATATCTGCATTAAGATAAATGTAAATTTGAAGCATGCATGAATTAAGATGAAATGGTTTTTCGTCTTATTTTTTCATTTGAATTCAATTTTATAGTTAATTTTTTTTCTAATGTCTGTTGCGAAAACAGGCATCATTATAATAAGATTAAAGCATAAACATAAAAGCTTTATAATAACGTGTTTGATACATGAAAAAGAGTTTATCTAGCATATAACCTAAAGTTATTTTACATAATTATCATGATTTTGCTATTTTGTAGAAAACAAAACTTACCATTAACTGTATATGGCTTAATACACTTAAACAAACTGTATCCATGTTTGTATTTACAATGTTTTGCCATAAACTCCTTGTTACTGAATCCAAAATGACACCAAGGACAGATGAAGACTTCTATAAATAATGTAAAAATGTTTGAAGAATACAATATATCAGTATTTTTTAAGGTCATCATTTTCTAACATTCAAATTTGCTACTTTTTACTACTTTTCATCATGTCCATTTATTAGGATTACTTTAAAGCAATATGAGCTGCATTTTTGAGAATTTGGTTTTGCTGTTTAAATGTACTATTTGATAAATTTTAATGTAATATGAACCTTTTTGATCAATGAAATATATGGAGATAACGAACAGTATTCAAACTCAAAAGTCCATTAATCAATACAAAATAGGAGCAGAGCAAACACGGACCTCCAAACATCAGAGGTGGGATCAGGTGCCACGGAGGAGTGAGCATCCCCTGCCGACCGGTCACACCCGCCGTGTGCTCCTTGTCATGATCGGGAAATAACGGAATTGTATTTGCTGACAAGGTCATTGTATCGACCATAGAACTTACGAAATGATGACTTTAAATGAGACAAATGAAATTCTTGTTTCATCAACTTATTTGTCAATAATTTACCTCGTTTAAGAAATTGTACATACGTAGAGCATGCTCTTGCGTATCGAATCAACTGAGAAATATATACCCCGTATGCAGGTGATGAAGGTATATTGCTGCATAAGTAAGGGAAGTTGACGATTGAAAAGTTAAAGTCATCATGTTTATCATAAAGCTTGGTTATTAGATTACCATTAACGTCTTTTTCAAGTAAAATATCCACATATGAAACAGATGTGTCAGACTCTGTGGTATCTTTTATCTCAAGTTCACAAGGATATATCGTATCGACATAAGAATGGAAATAGCCATTGTTAATTGACAATACGTCGTCGATATATCTAAATGTCGAGTTGAAGGCCACAGCAAGTGTTTTCTTCTTTTCACGTACAAGATTTTGGACACATTTTGCTTCATATGAATACAAAAAAAGGTCTGCTAATAACGGGGCGCAATTGGTACCCATGGGAATTCCAATAGATTGTTGGAAGACCTGGTCTCCAAAAACCACATAGATATTGTCAATCAGAAACTCAAGCATCTTTTTAATGTCAACTTCAGAGTACTTGTGTGAACAATCAGAATGTTTTTTAACAAAATAATTTTGCAAATGACCAATGACAAGGTAAGTATATTTACGAGTTCCATTTTTATTGAAAAGCAGCTGTCAATGATATCAAAACTTAAATAACTTAATGACTTAAATAAACTGTTTCAAAAGAGAGACTTCTGTACAATCGGATATATAGTACTAAGGAACCATTGTTGTACAGGACAACAATAATGTAATTCTGCTTCAAACAAAGCTTAAAAATAGTTCCTCCATCGCAAATATGAACAACAGAAGTTAATAAACGTTCCTTTTTCCTGTCATTGAAATAGTGAATTACAATTTTGCAACAAAAAAATTTCCGCTCATATTGTTTCAAGTCGAAAATTGGGACAAGGGCATGTGATTATTAATTTGTGTCTGTTTATATCAAGGTTTTCGGCAAGTTTACAATTTCCAGTTGAAAAATAAATGACGATAAGAAATAAAGGTTATAATCTTTCCATCAATTTAAATGAAAATAATTGTAGATTATGTGATATTTGAATGACTTCTAAGGCAAAACAAGTTGTTATAAGTTTTACTTTTTAGAAATGATCCCTTACACCAATTAAAGTGCAAAAAGGGGTCACTATATAATTAGTCTTACTGTTGTAAACATTGTCATCTTTTTAAAGGCACAGTTGATCTGTACATTATGAATGTGCGAAAACATGAAACAATAAGGTTGTTAATTATAAGTGAATCTCAATTGCAAACAATAACCTTACCCTCTCCATTCACAATTTTTGGAGAAACATCCATTTCTTCTCTATATATCCCTAGTTCTTTCCCATAATCATGACCATACCATACCAAGAGTTCTGTCCCAACAGGAACGTCTTTAAATGATCTGTAATATATCCGTCCTTTGTACTGAAAGGCCACTAGATTCTGTTCTGATTCTGATCTAGCACAGTTGACATATCTCATCCAGTTACTGAAGGGTTTTTTAAAAGCATTCACAAAATGACTTGGATGTCCCTTTTTATATATCTATGGAAAGAAAAAGTGCAATCAATCAGTAAATGTAAATAAAATAATTATAGATAATAAGTACTTTCATAAAATCATCAAATTATAACACAATATATCCTCTGATTAAAGTGATATGAAGAAAATATAATAGAGGCCTGGGTGTAAGGGGATTTTCCCCATCCAGTTTACACCATATTTTTTCGAGAGAATTTCTGTAGACATGTGCTTCCATTTCTTTGGATTTTAACTGATCTTGACACAATTATGAAGTAACAAAGCATCGAAAATGTATTTTATTTTACCTTTCCTTAAAAAATGAAAAACAAATGAACTGTGCCCATAATGCTCACCTGAGTCACGGACTTTGCTGTTTTGACCAAAAAAAAAATCCAAATCCAAATTTATAACAACAAGAAATTCAAACACCATATTATGGCCTAACCTTTCCCCAAAGTGTGTACAATTAAACTAACTCTAACTTGAATCTACACAAAATGAAGAAACTTGACTCTTCAATTGAATATCAACATAAATGGCCTTACTCTTAATTAGAACTTTTAAGATTTTCTTTTCTTTATAATGTAATATTTGATTCTCAATTATATCCCACCCTAACCCATGTAGTGTCTATAAGTTGAAGCAAAAAAATGAAGTAGAGGTACTATGAGCACTGAGCTCACTAAATGATACCCCGCCTCCCACATGATTATAATGGCAAAGTCCATGTTTTGCTCTGGGAGACCCAAAATAAGTGTCAGATCAAAAAGTAAAATATGAGGTGCACATTGGCATCATGCAATAAAGAATCTGTGAAAGTATTATAAAATTTTATTCAGTGGTATAGTAGGAGTTGTGGATAAGAGATGGGTACCCTTCAAAGTATAGAAAGATGGCAGCGTCCATGTTTTGCTATGGAAAACGCAAAATATGTATCCGTAAATAGGAGGTGCACAATGGCACTATGTAACAAAGATTCTGTGAAAGTCTCATTAAATTTCATTCAGTGGTATGAGGGGTTGCGGATAAGAGATGGGTACCCAAAAGCATAACAGACGAACGGACGTACAGACAAACGGACAGACAGACACCCCCATCACTATATATCCTCCCTGCTTTTCAAGCGGGGGAATAATAAATAAATAAATAAATAAAAAAGGAATAAACACATTTGATAATTTTCCAATCAGTATGATTTATTGCGGCCCTAATACTTTCTTATGAATTAATATGTAAAAATATTTAATCTCCTTATGTGTCCACATCTTCTATACTTCCAGGGGCATTGATTTGAACAATGAATCTGTACATGTACTACCAGAGGATATTTGCACATTTTTAGGGCTTATCATGGCCTTGCCTTTCTTGACATTTTCAGATTTTTCTTTATATAAGAACATATCAAGGTTTGATCTCCTATTGTGGCCCCATCCTACAGGTACCTCATAGGGACCATTCTTCGAATAAACTTAAATCTGTACTACTTAAGGGTGCTTGTTTTTAAATGTGACTAATCATGACCCTGTTGTTCTTAATAAGATTTTTTAATGATAATAACTTATATATTAACATACAAAAATTATATCCCCTAAAGTTGCCCAACAAAGGGATCATTCTTTCTGAGGATACTTGTGTAAAAATACGCTATTCCTTGTCCTGAGAAGAATTTTATGAAGATTTCCCCTTATCTTGATTATCCATTCTACTCCCGGAGGCAATGATTTGAACACATTTGAATCTGCTCTACCTGAGGATGCTTGCATATCAATTGATATCAGGTTAATCATGACATCCTTGTTCTTGGGATATTTTAAAACATTTTTCCAGTGCTTTTCTATGTAAAACATAGATCCCCTATTGTGTCCTACAACATTCCTGGAGATCAAGATTTCAATAAACTTAAATATGCATTAATACTGTAAACCAACTTTTATTCGCGTGCGAGAAATTTTCGCGAGGTTCGCGAGAGCCTCGTCATCGCGAATATTTCTCGCCGCGAACCGGTCCTTAAAGTCTCTCTTTCTCTCAACAACAGATTAAAAAAAAGGCTTGATCGCGAAAATTAATCGTCGCGAACTAGTTTATCCCCGGTAAATCGCGAAATAAAGTCGTCGCGAATAAAAGTTGGTTTACAGTATATCAGCAAGCTTTCAAATTCATGCTGGTTAATTTCTCCTTTTCCGCCTCAATACTTCCTGAGAAGCTTTTTTATGACAATATCTGACCCCATCAATGGTCAATATCTTTTCAGAAAGTGGATGGCCATTCATTTAAAAAAAAATAAAATAAATGGTCTAGTGATTCTGACGATGACGTCAAAATGTAAAAAGTTTACAGAAGACACAACAGATCTAGACAATAAACAGATTGACGCCGGCCACTCTTGGGTCAGAAAAACGGACTTGATCCTTCATTTCAGATGAGTTCAAATTTGAAATAAATATCATTCAAACTGACGATTTACTTTACTTTATGCAGCATTTGTGTCTAAACATGCCTGCCAAGAATATCCAGTTTCCTGGGCTTCATCCTGGTTCTCGGTAATTTCTCCCTCATACGGACCAAATCTTGTCCTTTTCGGGAAAAAAATATCAGTAAATACTCCTAGTCCAGCATTGGTTATATTTGACTCTTTTACTGTGAGGCCCAGTGGAAGGGTTTTCTTTGCTCTCTCAGGAATACCTTGTAATTGCTTAAATAAGAAACTTATTACAATTTTTCTGTAACTTTGCACTTGCTGTAAACGCAGAAATATTTATTTGGGATTCATTATGTTTATTTTGTTGTTCATAATTATCAACGAAATTAAATGCCTTACGGAATATTTACAAGGCTAATTATGGAATGATCCCCACAAAACATTAAAGATAACAAATGAATGAAAATTTACAAAAAATCTGCCTGTACAGTAGACGAAAAAGTATGGTTTCTATGGCATGTCAAACGTTGCAATATTCGATCTTTTCCATTTGCATTGTATAATTTTCCATTTGTATTGTATAATTTTTATTTGTATTGTATAATTTTCTATTTGTATTGTATAATTTTTCATTTGTATTGTATAATTTTTATTTGTATTGTATAATTTTCTATTTGTATTGTATAATTTTCTTTTGTATTGTATAATTTTTATTTGTATTGTATAATTTTCCATTTGCATTGTATAATTTCTTATTTGTATTGTAAAATTTCTTATTTGTATGCGATAATTTTTCATTTGTATTGTATCCGCGGACTGTTTATTTGTTTCGTTACGAAGGATTTCATTGGTCAATTTTCAACCTGTATCGGGTTGAAGATGTTCCGGATGCTCAAAGCAAACTGGGCTCATATGTATTTGCTTGATTGATTGATTGATTATTGTTTAACGCCGAATCGGCAATATTTCATCCATATTTCGGCGGCATATTTATTTGCGTGCATGTTAAACGGTCATTGGATTCTAAAAAGGGAGCGCTGGTAGATGGCAAATAAATAATCTGTCCTTAGAAATGCTGACTGAGAAAATAAATAAATTGACCTTGAGTGGTGGTAACTACCCCCACCCCCAAAAAACTGACTTTTCGGGTTTGGGCGGATTTTCTTCTTTTTGTTTTTCTCCTTGTCTCTGGTCATATTGGAAATAAATATTCTCTCCTGCGAGAGAATGAAAATAAATAATCGGATTCGACACCCCCCGAGAATCAAATGGTCGTCCCTTAGCATGCACCGCAAATAGAGGCGCCGAGTTTGTGTTTGTAGAGAGTGCGCGATCGGAATTGTGGGAAGGGTACCAGACTAAGTTTGTGATTGGCACCTGAGACCTTTATACAGACTAAATTTTATGACCAATGACATCCTTCGTAACGAAATAAATAAACAATCCTCGGATACAATACAAATGAAAAATTATCGCATACAAATAAGAAATTATACAATACAAATAAGAAATTATACAATGCAAATGGAAAATATAGAATACAAATGAAAAATTATACAATACAAATGATTTTTTTTACAACACAAATGGAAAATATAGAATACAAATAAACATTAAACAATCCAAATGGAAAATTATAAAATCCAAATGGAAAATTATAGAATACAAATAAAAATTATACAATACAAATGGAAAATTATACAATACAAATGGAAAATTATACAATACAAATAAAAATTATACAATACAAATGGAAAGTTATACAATACAAATGGAAAAGATCGTATATTGCAACGTTTGACATGCCATAGGTTTCAACATAATTATTTCTGAATTGCTATAACTTTAGTTACTTATTTCAATATTAATATATGTAGGTAACATATTGGATCCCTTACATAATTGAACATGTTGAAGTTTTTTTTAATATTTTGATTTAATACTTAAATACACATGTACATTGTCAAGACTCAAGTAACATTGGATCCTTAGAACATGTTTGAAACACTAACTATTATTACACTATTATTAGTGACATTCAACTACCTTATTTAAAGTTACTGCAATTGATCATTAGACTAGGTTTGTTATGTTAAATTCCTCCCTCTAAAAGGTCTTTATCCCCAAAGACAGCAGCCCACGGCCAGGCTTTTTTTTCTGGCAGGTCTATAACCTGTCATTTCCAGTGTATAAAGCAAGGTACTAAATATGACAGACAAGGAGTAAAATGCAACGGACTTAAGCAGGATTAAAACCTTGGTCCATAAATCTAGTCAGATGCTAATGACTGGCAATCTAACCTGCCTGATCGCTACAAGTCTATACACATTACCTTTGTATCATTGACAACTAAAAGTGGACCATGTATTGGACAGTCACCTTCATGTTCCTGGTTACATTCCTCACAGTCTGCAATAATTTATAAGAAATTGTTTTATAATGTTTAAATGTTTTTGTATTGTTTTCTCTTAAATTATATTGATTGAATGACACAAGTGGAGGTCTCACTTTTCTTTTGTGCAGTATCAAAACTATAAGGGGGTAAAATGAAGAAGAGACCAATGGACCACGTATATCACTCACTTGGGCACACTACCTTAAAAAAAAACACAAATTAGTTCAGCATTGAAAAGTTTAATGGGGTGGGTGTCAGTTGGGGGGGAGGGGGGGGGAGTTAAACTTGAATTTTAAACTTCCGGAGGATACTTTCATATCAATATAACAATATATCTTGAACAAAAGATTTATTTCCTCTAAATTCCATTATAAAAAGTTGATCCCCCATTGTTACCCATTTCTACCCCTTGGGTCATGATTTAAACAAGAGGCCCATAGGCTATATTGCTCACCTGACCAAACTGGCTAGGAAGAAGCAGAAATCAGTTCAGTATATTGAAAAGTTTTCGGGGGGGGGGGGGGGGTTAGCAAACTTAAATTTACACTACTTCAGGATGCTTCTATATCAATAATACTAATCATGGCTTTGCTGTTCTTAAATAGAAGAATTTTGAAGATTTTTTCCTATGTATTACTATGTAAAACTCTGATTGCTCATTGTGGCCCCACCCTACCCACCGTAAATTTGAACAGATTTGAATCTTCACTTCCTGTGGATGCTCCTATAATAATATGACTAATCATATTTAAAGATTTTTTTCTATATATTTCTATGTAAAACTTTGATCTCCCAATCGTGGCCCCAACCTATGCCCGGTGGTCATGATTTGAACAAACTTAAATTTACACTATGTAATAAAGGTTTCATATAAGTTTCAACTTTTCTGGCCAAATACTTCCCGAGAAGATTTTTAAAAGATGACCCCAAAATTTCACCAATTCTTAAATATCTCCCCTTGGAAGAGGGAGTGGCCCTTCATTTGAATAAACTTGAATTCCCTCTATCCAAGGATGCTTTGTGGCAAGTTTGGTCGAAAGTTACCCTGTGGTTCTTGACCAAAAGTCGAAAATGTTAAAGTTTACAGACGGACGGACAGACAAAATGTGATCAGAAAAGCTCCATAGACAACACCATTTTTTCATATATTTATTAGTTGCTTTAACTCCCTTCAAACCTCTGTCACATCCGGTCCTAAAACAAAATGAGAAAGCAGGATGGTTGAGCATAGGACCCAAAACCCATACCTGTCGCGGAAACGACTATAAGAAACAATATTTCAACTGAATCGAAGCAGTTCATATATCTGGATCATATATCTGGAATTGAGAACTAACAGTCCAATAGTAGACCTCCTCACAAAAAAAAAAAAAAAACACGATACAAGTGCTGGCCATTATACCAAACTAAGCAGTAAATGAGTTAACACAAAAGACTGCTGATGGTCTATACTATACATTCTACAAGTTCACGTCGAAATACTTTTGACTTGGAGCCGCAAAAACCTCTAGCATATCAGTTGTCAAAATTCTCGCCGATGAAACTCCAAAGAAAAGCCAATCAATTTTTAATGAAAACTAGATGTGTTGTTAGCGCCAAGAATACCCCTGCAAGCAGCCCAAATTTCAAATACATTATTTGGTTTCAAATTTGCATTCGAGCTTGACCCGTATTTTCTGGTAAAATACCTGGATATGCAATTTCGACCTTTTACATACATCCCAACAAAAGTTAGAGAGCAGAAACTGAAAATTTCTTTTTTTCCTAAGTACAAGAGTGGCAACTTTTTCAGAAAATCATCGGACCACAACCAAATTCAAATTTGACCTCTATTTTCTGGTAAAATAAATGCACATGCACTTTCAACCTTATACATACATCCCTACAAAAGTTAGAAAGCGGAAACTGAAAATTTCTTATTTTTTTCTAAGTTCATGAGAAACATTTTTTTATTCCCTCCATTACAGAAATTTTTTTAACATGACAACTATATCTTAAATAAAGTATATAAGTTAATCTTAGTGTGAGAACAGAAAAAAATAAAGAATACATATTGTAAGTAATGGAAAAAAAAAAAAAAAAAAAAAAAAAAAAAAAAAAAAAAAAAAAAGGTTATGAAATCAAAAACAAACACAAAATAAAATCATTAAAATCATCAGATACAAATCTTTGAAACGCAATTTACTCTTTTGGGGATCAGCACCTCTGTCTTTTTTCAAGTAGTGTACCATTTTTTTTTTTTTTTTTTTTTTTTTTTTGTTTCAATAAACTAGTACATGTACTTTAACTTAGTTACAATGCAAAGAGAATTCTCAAATATCAATAAGAAATTCTAGAATCATGCTTAAAATGTGTTTTTATTCCTTTTGGTTAGTGTGTGTTTTTTTTCCGTATAGAAAAGTTTTCGAATTTAAGATGGTCACTAAACAAAGAAATAACTTGGAATGGACTTATTTGATGTTAAATGCCCCTTCCGAGAATTTTCCACTTCTATGAGCTTTGAAATATTTTGAATGATATGTGTCTTGTGTAAATTATACACTAATTGCCTAGGACACAGAGATATTGCGGACTGTTCAAATCCATGGAAGGCAAGGCAAAGCTTCTCTTTGAAAGGGAAATTTCCACCAACCATTATAGTTGCAGAAATAAGACGAAATGTAACAGATAGCAAATCAAATTATAAGGTTAGAGAGTAATAAAAAATTGCTAGTACATGTACGTTACATTTTCGATATCTTGTTCAACACACTGTCACAGTTTGTAAAATTTGATGTGATACATTTAATTAAATATACCAAACATGTTAAAGAATAGAAGATGTTTTGTTGATTCAAAAACGTATCATCTCTGGAAGTAATTGCGGAAGGCCTACAGTTTTGTCAAATTTGATTAAATTTTTATCTTTTCATGCTTCCAATATTTGATCAAGTATGATTTTGATAAAATATTGAGGGCGTGAAAAGACCGAGTAATTTTATCAGAATGAAAAAAAATGATGTGGTGGACGGAGCAGCTTCAAGAGTATTACTAACAATAAATTGATTATATGACAGGGTTTCAGCTTTCAAAAGAAAGCACATCAGAAATGTTGATTTTGTCTGACCTCGTTTGAGAAAAACAAGCTTGAACGCGCTTCGCTTCACTTTAAGAGTGAAAAGCTTAGACAGGCATGTAAAAACAAGTTTCACTCAATCATGAGTCATCAAAATATTACTTCATCTATGTACAAGCAAATAGACAGAGAAACACAAGAGAATAAATGATCAGAAAAGAGTCATCAACTTGAGCTTGTAGACTTAAGTTCAGATGACACACTCCTTAATGATATGTAATTTTCCCCAAAAATTTGTGATTGAAGTATGGCTACATTAAAAAAATTCCTCACAAAAAATGAGGTACATTACCAGGTATATGTACAGAATCCAGAGAATGGTGTTTTCTATACAATTCTATTGGACATCACTTGAGTTGCTTATATAGGCTAACAATTTTGGTTCTCACATTTTTTCAGACACAATTTGAAAAAACAAAATTAAAAACCAGAAGATAATATAAATAATGACAAATATTTTGGTATTTTATGAAGAGATATATTTAAAAAAAAAAGAAGATATTTTCTAGGAAATAATGTTTTGTCAGAACTAACATGTTTCCAAGGTAATGACTTTCAAACAAATCTATGAGTGATTTTTTTTAATTTCTTGCATGAAACAAACTATAGCTCAGTCTTAACCCTCATCTTCTGCAGGGCTCTAATTGGCGACTAATTTAGTCACCATGGCGCCTAAATTTTTTGATTGGCGCCTAATTTTTTTTTTCCATAAGTCGCCAATTATTATTCGGCGACTTTTTTAAATTGACTTGGCGATCGTCGAATTCCTGACATTTAACATTTTTAACAATTTTTCCGAAAAAGCGGAAAGAAATTAAAAGAAGACGAAATTATTTTTTGGAATGGCAATGCATGTCGTGTTTTCCTAGTCACATCAAGGGGCCTTATATTGATGATTATTAACTTTAAAAGTTGGCGCCTTAAAAAATTGCCTGACGACTATAAATTTGCATTGGCGATTTTTTTTTTTATAAAAGGTCACTCAGAGGCCTGTTCTGGTAAAACTTGTCAAACAAACTTCTGGTGAAAACTTGTCAAACAAACTGATACCTACAAATAAAATCGTCATCATCTGGCACTTCAACGTCCATATAGTTAAGTCTTTCTTGTACTCGAAGTGGATATGTACGTTTTTCTGTTTTCTTCATCTCTTTCGTGTTTTTCTCAGACTAAATGAGATTGACAAGGAAAGGAAATCAATTACAAAACTCTTTTTAAAAACTGACCATGTTACCCTATATATAGTTCATATTGCTCTACATCAAATTCCTATAAATAATATACACAACAACAGACTTGCCTGCCGAGTGGTTTAATTCCTATCAACTAGTACATATGTACATGTATAAATCCTTCAAACTAGGGGAACATCGGTAGAGTAGGCAAATCTGCAATGGACATAAGACACACCTAACCCATCCACCCACCCACCCACCCCCAAAAATGTTTTAGAAATATACCTGCCCCTTCAAGATATTGAGGGAAAATATCTATGTCTAGTGTATTTTAATCAATGAACTTAATTTGATCTTGTAACCCTAAACAGGTTCCAAAGATATTGAGAAACAATATCTTCTTATACACATGTCCAGAGAGTTAGCCTTTGCTTTTGACCTTATAACCTCAAAATTTATAAGAGCCATCTGCACCTTAGGGATTACCACTATATCAAGTTTGATGTCAGTCAACAAAGGGTTATAGTATATTGATCAAGACCCCTGGCTCTGATGTTAAAAATTATACTACCAAATTATTTAGATTTCGATATTGAACACTTATATTGTTACCTCTTTGATCAAGTAAATTTATACAGATCCTACCTGATTTTTTTAATACAGGCACTACAGTGTCAACCGGAAATTGTAAAATTGAAATAAAATGACTTTTACCATTAATTTTTGTATGTGTGCAAGTATGGGGGGGGGGGATATGAATTTTCAATTGGGACAGAGTCCTTTTATTGACCTGCATTCAACTGATATTAAGCCGTGTAGTGGTACTCTACATGTATATAAAGGTTTTACCTTTATTTTCCTGGGTCGCTTTTCCTTTTGCTCCTTTAGGGGGACAGAAAACCTAACTGTTTGTTTCTTTTCTAAAAAAAAAAAAAGATCCGGATGTTAATTGCCAATGAATAAAATACAATGGTCGCCTGTGATAAAATGAAGATTATTCCCTAAAGTTGAGTTATTAGTGTTGCGCAACATCAGTTCGAGACTTTACTGTATATCAAAGAAATATAAAAATTTCTGTACATTTTGTATAAAAAGTCCAATAAAACAATGCATGCACACAGAGTTACTTGTGACAGTGATCAACATATCTAGATCTAATTGAGAGCAAATCCTTAGCGAAAGACAGTCTGCGCATGAACATGCGAAAACTGAGTAAACAGATAAAAGCAGTATATTTTTATATTTCAGGTACTGTACGTACCCCTCGTAGACTTGTAAGGAGTCCATTCCTCGTCACTGTCCGATTCCACTTTCTTTGGTTTTCTTTTTGCTCTAGATCTGGGTCCCTTCATAAACTCAGGCATCACTGCTGGTAATCCTGAAAAAAAAATCTTCAAAGTAAATCTAATTTAGAATTTTTTTTTCTTAGATCTCTTTCAATTGGGAATTTTTAATTGAAAAAAGTGGCAAAATTTTGAGATATTTATGTATTGTATTAAGTTTTACTGTTGAATAAAAAGATACTTTAAAGGCTTATTCTCTATGCACATCTTTATGAAATCAACCATTAAAATCTAAAGTTCAAGTTTTTCTTAATATAAAATGCACTGAAAAACTCAATTTGCTTATCATTTGGAATTTTTTAAATAATTGTTGGGAAAAAAAGAGTCAATTTTTAATTGGGACAGGGTCCTTTTACAGGACCCAAATGCAAGGCCTAGGGTTATCAAACCCTGTTATTTTAAACATACCAACAGCCAGCATTATCTCATAATTCTTCCTCATATTTTTATATCTAAGCAATTCAACATTAGAAAGTTTGGCCAGCTCAGCCTTGGAGAAGTATTCCTCTACACTGTACTCTCTGTTCTCCAGTTCTCTGATGACTTCATCACTTGGGAATTCCATGTTTGGTTTTGACCTTATTATAAACATTCACAAGACATAAATGTAAAGTTTTAAGTTCAAATAATATATATACCCACAAACTTTTTCTTTTCCATATAATTTACATGTACATCTGTGTGTGTGTAAAATTGTGTTTTATCATTTAACAGGTTTTATGTTTTTATATGTATTGATTTCTTAATTTCTTTGGATTGGTAAATTTCTAATTATATATATCCCTACATCAATAAAATATAAATTTCTATTTTCTGTTTGCATAAATTCTATATTTTATTTATAAAACAACCCTCTTGTTCCAGTTCTTCTAGATAAGAAATTTTGATCAAAATTAAATTAATATGCTAATTAGGTCTGGGGTCCCATCTTGGAGTATTTCTCCTCTGAAGGCAGAACTCTTCCATTTTGAATTACTTCCTTATGTGGAATCACTGGGAGACCCCCCCCCCCCCCCGTACTTTTCTGCTTCCTTAATTAAGCTACAGTACATGTAGCATATATCGTAATATCAGAGCTTATACTTTACACTAATCAGCTGCTAATCATACAGTTACGCTACACTTCTTTCAGTTAATCTGACAATTTTTATCAAAGGTGTATTATTCTCAAATGCCCCAGTAGGAAAAAATATGTCTTTTCTCCATAATCAAAGTAACACAGAGTTTGGAACTAGTCTGTGTCTGTAAGGTGAACTACTGAAATAGATATTTAAGGAGCAGTGTCTGAGTGAGTTATTCTGACTAGTTCTTGCTCAAACTTGTACCTCCTGTGAAAGTGTCACAATTAAACTTGTCTTTCATGCCAATCATAGGCACGTAAAAGTTAGTGCCCCTTCCATTTGATTTTGAAGAGGGGTTGGGGGCACAGAAATTGGAAATATATAACTTTTCTTAAAAAATGCTGGAAATAAATGATAATCAAATCTGTCCACGACTGGCAAGAAGAAAATGAATAACCTTTGTCTATTTTAATGCTACTGCCCCCCCCCCCCCCCGCCCATGAAATAAGAGTTTTGGAGTTTGGCAGACTTAATGAAAAAACAAAATTCGTCCCACTTTTTCGATGAAGAAGAAAACAAAAAATAGGCCTAATCTTCCCTTAATCATCTTGGAAATTAAAAATTTGCTCTTTACTAAAACATGACCCTAAACACCCCCCTTTCAAAATCAAATGGTCGTCGTCCCCTACGCAATGAAAGATTGGTGTTTAATGGCTATGCAATTTCAATTTAAATGCTAATTTTTACAAGTTAACTTAAGACAATTTCAATTAGCCAGACATAAAGATTTTTAAAAAGCCTTTTAGCCAGGTTGAAAAATTTGCCAAGGGCCGCGTTTTTAGAAGTATTTTTTTTTAAAGTTGGATGCTAACTAACAAGGAAATGACAAAGTATAAATAAATCATAAACTCATCTATTAAAGCATGATTCTTTCTAATTACAGTATTACTTACAATCAATGAGCCTATGAATTGTAAACCCGTTTATCTTTGGTGACCTTCGTTTTCACGAAGCAGACGACAATGATATTAATTCGAATGTCGATCCCGATCTTAAAAGAGGTATAATTTAGAGGTCCAAAGCAATGCAATTAAACGTTCATATAAAACTAACAGTACTGTAAGTTTCTGTCATTTTAACTTTTTAAAATTTCTTTTATTTTTTTAAAAATAAATTTACTCTCCCTCCAGGTGGCCTGGCCCTGCATAACTGGCGGAAGTTTTAGCAAGGTAGAAGTTTTCATCATTCCCTAACTACTAGTAATTTAATTATAAGCACAACCTGTACCAAACTAAATAAGACATGAATTGTAAAAATGAATATGGAAATAAATTTACATATGCTTAAGTCCTCTTTCAAGGTTTGATGCATGCACTATTTAGTGTAATTCTAATATAACCCCCCACTCCCCACCCCCGCCCAGGCGCGGATCCAGGAAAAAAAGGTAAAATCCATTTCCAAAACATGGAAAACACCCGTATTTCGTGGTGGTATTGGTGGGTACACGTTTTCTAGGGAGGGGGGGTGGTGGGGTCCAATGTCATTTCTTATTTGCTTCAGTATATACTTTTAATACCTCTCAGTGCAAATTTCAGGGGGGGGGGGGGGTCCAGACCCCCCGACCCATCTCTAGATTCGCGCATGCAGCTCCACCTTTTCCTTCGTCAGGACGACACGACGACCCTTGATAGGAGGAAGACTACCTGTTTTTAATCAGACTGATGTACATGTACAACAAATGTTGAGATTAGAAGCTTTGGGGTATAAACTTGTTAGAAATCATGTTTCATTCCTATGTAGATTACAAATATTATTCATAATTTCTATTAATTATCGCTATTTGTGTGGGAAGATGCAATCCTGTTAACAATTCAACAACTGTTATTCATTCATGAGAATTTTAGCAACAACGGTTATTTTTTGGGCATTGCCAGTTTTGTTGTCTACGTCTAAAAGAATAGATGAACTCTGCCCAACCTGTTTCAGGTACTTTTAAAGCATTTATATGATTTCAAGCACTTGCATATTACACAACTAGTAAGAGCTATTTGTTTGTCAAACACAGTCTTTCAAAGTGGAAGGTCAATCAGTCAAGAGTTGCATGTAAAAAAAAAAGTAAATTGGATGATGCATTCAAAGAAAGCAAGAAAATAGATCACTGTTTATGGGTTGAAAAGTTTTCAATTGATTTCCAACTTTATGAAAATCGATAAATTTTCAAACTCAGTATAAGTACGTACAAAAAGAATTATACATATATACAAACTTTGATACAGGAATATAGTTAACTAAAGCACCATGCAGCCCAAAAAGGCTGATCCGAGAAAATTTACCAGATTAACCCCGTACCTAACAGCAACATACGTGTAACTTTACAAATATTGAAAATCAAACTGATTCAACAACATTGAAAAAAAGCAAAAGAGAAAATGAAGAGTTCTTAATTTTGATTTTTTTTTTCCGGGGGGGGGGGGGGGTCTGCGTTTGTTTTTCTTTTCTTCGTTGATTGATGGTTCGCTGACGGGGATTTCCAGATATTGTTTTCTCACAAGAGTACGGGGTAAATTGACTTTTCAGCGTTGAACCGACAAATTTGAAATTGTACACATTTCCTTTTACTATTAACTATAATGACACACGCCGTTTCTTCAGAAATATTTTACTTAGATGAATCAATATCTGCACAACAATTTTAGCGATTTTTAAAGAAAAAAATCTTGATATTAACATTACAAGGATGCTTAGAATGGAACACATCTTTCTACAAACGGTCAGGGACCACAGAATTATTGTGCAGAGGCGGATCCAGAAATTTCAGAACGGATCATGCCAGTTTGAGGATGAATCGATATGAAAATCAGAATTTTTTCTTGACAAGCAAAAGAAAAACTCTTTGATTGAAATATGAGGTTCCCTTCTCATGGGCAGTCTGCTTATAATTTGACAATTCTTTTTAACCAGGGAATCCATCATTAGGAATACCTCGGGCCTTTCACAGAAAACAAGTGTTTTTTCTGTGAAAGGCCCGAGGTGTTCCGGATTGGGAATCTATATTTCCAGGGGAGGGGGGGGGGGGGCATTTCTTGACATCTTCTTTAAAAATTTTGATAACTTTATCATTGATGTTCTCCTCTGAGTAACAACACATTTCATCTCAAAACTATACCTCCCATGTTGATAACTACATAACAAACAGTTATGAATCACAAGAAAAGAAAATTACAATTTCCAAAGCGGGAAATTTTATTCCATCGAACTAATTGATAACTTTATATACATAATTATTTGAGAAATCCCGTTTTACATTAGTTTGGTCCACAAACCCGTCAGTGCGCGTGATTACTTCATTTTTTATCACCAGTGAGGGACGAGGAGAGGGGTTAGTGTAAATTCTGAAAATAACTCTTTCTATATGCATGTATCATAGACTTCAGGTCAGACAACACGTTCCTTGAATATCTGTTTTAGCATCCCTTTATAATATACCCAAAATATTTATAGTTATCGTTATATTTTGATTTCTAAACTATTTTTAAAATGTCTGAAAAAAATATTTAGGCCAAAAATTGTGATATCAAAAGTTCAAGTGATTTCTAGTATAGGATTATATAGGAAATATTATCCTCCGGGATCTTGCACAAATGCCTGGTAATTTACACCAACTTTTTGTTAAGGAACTTCTTAAAGTAGCAGTATTTCAATCACAAAATCTTGGGAAAAGATGCATATTTTTGAGGAACGTGTCGTCTGACCTTAAGTAACATTTCAATCCACCAAGGCATGCAGTATGATTATTCTCCAGCATTTCTCCTGTACTAAGGTTATTTCAAATATTCTCATTAATATAATACAGGAAATCCTTAATGTGTGAAGGTTTGTTACTGCATATGTAATAAAGTACTCTATCATGTAACGATGCCTGTTGACTGTATTGAGTTCATATGCAATTAAGTTAAATAAAATTTATAAATGCAAAGTTGATAAAGAAAGAAAGAAAGAAATAAAAGAAATAAATTAAATAAAATAATAAATAAATAAATGAATAAAAAAAATAATAAAATAAATAAATAAATCAATCAATCAATCAATCAATAAAATAATTGTGGAATGTGCCATTCCCACAGGTGATGGATCCGGTATTAATATGACCCATTCATTTCGAATTAAAACGATCAACTCATAAAAGATATTGACCACCATACAGTACTTGCTAAATTAAATGCGGGGTATATAGATACCTTATGCTCTTGATAAAAGTTATATAGATAAAGTGATTATCTCTAGGCCTCGCACAGAACTACTGACATTATCCTTTTTTTTTTTAATTAATTGGTCATTCCTTTCCATATTTTTAGTGGTTTTAAAAAAGTTTTAGTGGATAAATATATATGCATTAAGTGTACTATACAATAAAGCACCATATGCAGTAGGTATATAGCTAATATATCACGCCAGTACCCGAGATCTCGACCTTTCATTGGTTGAATTTAAAAATGGCCTTTCTGAAGAATAAAATGAATT